CCTCAGTAACGCACAGATCTTAAGCTGTTTATCTCACTAGTGCACTTGACCTAAGTTGTTTACCTCAGTAACGCACAGATCTTAAGCTGTTTATCTCACTAGTGCACTTGACCTAAGTTGTTTACCTCAGTAATAAACAGGACCTAAGTTGTTTACCTCACTAATACATAATACCTAAATTGTTTACTTCAGTAATAAACAAGACCCAAATTGTTGACCTCAGAAATAAACAAGACCTAAATTGTTTACCTCAGAAATACAGAGGACTTTATCTCAGTAACACCTTTAACCTAAGTTGTGTGCCTCAGTATCACACAATTCTTACTTTGTTTACCCCAGTAAACACCTGATTTAAATTATCTAACTCAGTAACATACATGGCTTAAGTTGTTTACCTTTGTATCACACACAATCTAAATTGTTTAGCTCAGTAATACAGATGGCTTAAGCTGTTTACCTTATTAATGCATTTGGCCTAAGTTGTTTACCTCAGTAACACACATGGCTTAAGCTGCTTACCTTATTAATGCACTTGGCCTAAGTTGTTTACCTCAGTAACACACATGGCTTAAGCTGCTTACCTTATTAACTCATTTGACCTAGGTTTTTTACCTCGTTAACGCATATTGGTTAAGTTGTTTACCTCAGTAACACACATTCTTGTCTAAAGAAGCAGTAATTGAACATCTGAAGTCCTCTCCTGATAACACACATTCTTGTCTAAAGAAGCAGTAACTGAACATCTGAAGTCCTCTCCTGATAACACACATTCTTGTCTAAAGAAGCAGTAACTGAACATCTGAAGTCCTCTCCTGATAACACACATTCTTGTCTAAAGAAGCAGTAATTGAACATCTGAAGTCCTCTCCTGATAACACACATTCATCCATGTATTTCGAGGTGTCAACTATTTCTGTCAAACTGTAACACACACAGGACCTAATTTGCATGAAAAGGTTTAAACTTTAACACGTTTCTGTTTAATATATTTGAAGTATACGTAGCGAGTCTTTCAATAAAGCTTTAAGTTATGTAAATATATATGTCTGGGTCACTTTTCCTGGTTATCTCCATTTTCGTCTGTTTGGCTATATTTCTACTTCTTACGAGAAAACAAACAATGTATCAAAATCGCCAAAAGCCTCAAAAATCACTCCTCAAGAACGAAGTAAAGCGTCAGTCTACTTTAAGTCTAACTTATAAACTTTAAGGTTGTGTTCAGCAATACATATGACTACCTGACTGATCCTGTTATAAACTTTAAGGTTGTGTTCAGCAATACATATGACTACCTGACTGGTCATGTCATAAAGTTTAAGGTTGTGTTCAGCAATATAAACAACAATGCTTGCCACAAGCCGCATATGCTATACAAATACCGCTATTTCATTATATCATATTATCGTTAGTACTTGGATTTTTTATTTATGGCAAAGCTAATATGTCCAATTGCCACCTACCCTAATTTTGAATTACTAGCCAGATGGAATGCAGTCAGTCAGCAGCATCTAACAACCTGCCATCCATGTCAAGAGGTTGATTGTCAGTCTTATAACGCACCCACAGCTCAAAGTGCAGTAAATATTTTTTGGCTTGCCAGCTCCGAAACCCAGAACTCTACCACAGGATAAACCCGAACCCTATCATTAGTAGGTTCGTTTTGTTGGTTTAAATGTTATTTTGCATAACGTCCGGTTAAAGTTTTGTTTTCAAAACAACTTGTGTAAAACTTCTCATGTTTGTAAGTTTTTTAAGATTTTATATTTAATATAAAAATAAATCTTACAAAAACTTAGGTTCCAAAACACAAATACAATTACAAAGAAATTTCATTGATTCTGATTTCAAGCACAGTAACAATATATTTCTTTTGCAAACGTTTATGCAAAAACGAAAGATCTATCAATCGTTTCTGCTTTTAAAAATAAAAAAAGACAATTACTAATATAAAATCAGGATATTTTGTCTTTTAATTCGTTGAGTGACTTATTTCATGTTTCTATATCCAGTCAAACTTGAGTGACTTATTTTATATTTCCGTATCCAGCCACAGTTGAATGAATTATTTAGTTTCCATATTCAGTTACACTGTAAACATATATCTTAACATGTTAAGAATTAACAGTTACAGTAGTCTGTGTACCTTTATATAACAACTAATTCTATATTTACGAATCTATCTGTCTGTATGGCCAAACACTATAAAAAGAGGGTTAATTCGACAAACTATTAAAGAGAGTTAATTCCAAATATGATTAAGGTGTGAAATGTTTAACACTGTAAAAAAAAAAAGAGTTCATTTGAAATAGGATTAAAGTGTGAAATGTTTAACACCATAGAGAGAGTTAATTAAAAATAGGGTTAAAATGTGAATTATTTATCACCCTTAATACCGTTAAGTCGAAAGAGGATTAAGGCGTGAAATGCTTTGCACCGTAAACATAGTTACTTTAAAATAGGGCTAAAATTTGAAATATTTTGCGGTTAATGATATCCCGAGTTCGAAATTCACTAAATTCCACAACCATTTTCTTTTCCTTTAATTTTATTGGCGTATAATAAAATCTCTTACACTGCATCCCAGATTCTCTTTGTTACACGTTTTAGAAAGTCGTTGTCTATCAGTTAACCCTAGAAATCCCAGTTTGCTAAGCATAGATCGTGATGTATCTACAATACGGTGTGGATGACCACATCAACCAACTTATACCAAATTCTAAAGGAAGCCTACTATTTTATAGCTCCAATCCGGCACTTCTATGATTTATGTGCTTAGTCACTATTTAAGGGTGAAATCATTGGTACACTAACAATCAAAATCATCAAGGAGGAGAAAGAATATTAATGGTTCCAAAAGCAATAAATTAACACGCTTATTTCAATATTTTTCACTTATATACCACATGCATATACAATATCAATAAAGTGACAATGGCCAACAATGTAAGGGGTGTACATCACAACAACTGATACTATGGAGGGCAACAAAAACACGCCTTGTATACATACATGTTTCGTTTTTTTTTCTTTTTACATAAAACAATTTAGTTTTTTTCTGTAGCTTGTTTCTTGAAAGAGGTTTCCCCACACCTTGCATTTCTAAAATGTCTGTGGCTGTCTTGAAAACCAACTTTTAATAAGTTCGCCAAAAAGAGTTTCGTGGATACATCTTCAGAAAGTTAGTAATTGTTACAATCTATGAACATTATGATGAAAGGTTAATTGATGTTTATATTAAAGCGAACAATCCCTGGCACTTGCGACACGCAAATTCACATAATATATACAAGTTCAAACGGAAGGATGTGGTGCATCTGAGGCCTTCCATTTAATAAAGACCTAGTCACCTCAACTGAAAATGTCGAGTCCTGGTAATGGAATTATTGGCGTCTTCGTAGAGAAAACTGTTCTGACATTTGTTTACTATAGTTCATACTTTACAGGTTCAATTCATTAAAACCGTCTTTTCATTGATCGGGTTATTTTGGCAACTCGTCTTTGGTTATAAGGTTCATACGGACACTGTCCTCCACCAAGACTGGTTTACAGAGAACGTCGTCTTGGTGGTCGCTCACGAATTTTACTGGCTCAAAAAATGTCTTTTAAGAAGCTTCTGATTCTCATGACATCAAAGAACTCCTAGGAAGAACTGTGCCTACGGGACTTCCAGCAGCACTGCCGGATACAGCGGCTAGAGCAGCAGCAGATCCCGCCGGATGAGGTATGGATGGAGTAAGTCGAGCTCCTTGTAGAGCGAGGCCGAAAACGGAGGAAGAACAACTTGCTCCTGATTTATTCAGTGATACATCGCTGCCACTGAAGGCAGCTGCGGCTGTTCTGAGCCGGTTTAAGGAAGCTGAAACACTGGCAGAGTCCGAAAGGACAGATGAGGAGACTAGAGTGCAGTTGGAGGAGCCGGAATTCGCTGAGGTTAGTGCAGGACCAGGAGGAACAATAGGTGGACAGCTATAGACACTTGATAGAGGAAAGGAGCCTGGAATAGCCGTGCTACCTAATGTGTTAGAGTACCAAGAGGAGGGTTTGGGATAAGGACTCAAATAGTCTAAACGGGCTGCTCTCTGGAGAGGACTCATCTTGTTGGATCCTGACACCAGTGGAGAAGAAGATATGAGAAGACTCGACGAGTTTCCCGCAACAGATGAAGAAGTGGATGTAGCCGTGTCCACTATTGACCAGATTCTTGGTTTACTGGGCGTTGTTCGAGGCTCAGGGGCTGGGTTGGGATCACTCAGTCTTAGAATCGGCGGTTGTGAGGGTTCGGAGTCTGAACCGAGAGAAGCTTCAGACGACGGGCTAGATATTGCAATCCGTTTCTGACCCATCACGGACAGACTCGTCTCCCTGAGATCTAATCTCAGTCGCTCAGAAGGATCGTCGTCTTCGTGCTGTGCTGGAGAGTGGATTGAATGGTCGACCTCAAGTATTTCACTCCTTGTATCCGGTGAACCTGTAAAGATATAAATCCGACTATAAAATTACTTTAAAATCATGTGCAGTAAGTTAAAACATAACCCTAGACACGGATGGTAAATATATATAACTTTTAATCAATTTGATTTTTATGTTTAAAACTTGATATTATAAAAGGAGTATATTAATGTCCTCAACAGAACAAGAAAATATATTAATATAAGAAACATAAAGAAAAAAAGATACTATTTGGAATTATTATACAATTTTTATACACTCTTCATGATTCCTTTTTTTTCAAGAAACACTTTTGATCCTGCCGATCCTATATTTCGACCTTGCAATGACTTACCGTCTCCAATATCATCATCATTATCAGACCTTGCAATGACTTACCGTCTCCAATATCATCATCATCATCATCAGACCTTGCAATGACTTACCATCTCCAATATCATCATCATCATCAGACCTTGCAATGACTTACCATCTCCAATATCATCATCATCATCAGACCTTGCAATGACTTACCATCTCCAATATCATCATCATCATCATCAGACCTTGCAATGACTTACCATCTCCAATATCATCATCATCATCATCATCTTTGCCACTTTCTTTATTTCTTTCCATCTTGCTGGTTTCTTCATCTTCAAAATCTTTGTTTCTACTAACTTCATCATCACCGTCTCCATCTCCATCGTCATCGTCACAACGATTCCGCGGAGACCATGTCATTTTGTTTTCTTTCTTCAGGCGTCTCCGGGCGTTAGCAAACCACGTGGAAACTTGCGTCAATGTCATCTTCGTGATGATAGCCAACATGATTTTTTCGCCTTTGGTTGGATAAGGGTTTTTTCTGTGTTCGTTTAGCCAGGCTTTGAGCGTACTCGTGGTTTCTCGGGTAGCGTTCTTTCTCCTTGCTCCATTTAAGTCCATTCCATACCTACATTTTAAAACAAGTAATTAGAAGCTATATCAGATCCTGTTTTGGTTGTTTGTAGGCTAAATAAAAAAGCCATTCTGAATAGACTCCTTGATTTCTACAACTACCCTACCAGCTTTTGAAGTACAATTATCTAAAAAAGTTTTACACCAAATCATTTGTGGGTCCATTAATGTTGGTTACCGGGTCCGTAATAACATTCACACAAAAAGTTGTAGACAAATATGTTTTCAATATCGCAGTTAATCCCACAATTTACTGTTGGGATTTCCTGCGTATTTCACATAGAAAATGAGTATTTTCACCCCTTTTTTGCCATTTGCAACAGGCGGAAAGATAAAATCATTCAACATAATACAATATACGAACCCTGCCTATAGTGAACGTTATAAAAAAGATGGTAATTCGAAGTTTAAAAGGATTTCCTTCAGCAATCATAAGCTGATACTTGGTTTAGGGAAATCCTTGAACGACAGAGGACTAGAACGTAGACTGTTGACGCTTATCTAATGTGAACAAACGTACTGGTGCTGAGTGGAATCCTGAAACTAAATCCAATGAAGACCCACTCGTCCATTTTGGCCGAGGTAAAGAACGAATCGCTTTACGTTGTCTTTATATTGTTTAATTTCATGTATCTATGAAACACCCAAAGACAAGAACACCGATTTGCGTCAATTAGAATTATAGCTGGTGAACCAATAGGTTTTTGGTGTATTCCCCAAGTAAAGAAAAACTGTTATGGAACTTCAGCAAGATACCGTTCTTTGTCTGTGATTGAACTTCAGTCTCAAATGATCACTTTTTGTAGTGCTTAATTGATATTATCACTAACTTCAAAGAAATAAAATATATTAATAGGTAATAATAAATGGATGGAAATTTGTTTTGTTTGTTTAACTAAATTCTAACGGTATTTTCATAAGTGATCTGCATTGTTTCAGAACTGTACGTATAGAAGTATTCATTGAAACATGAGGTTAGACGTATCAAAGTATCCATTGAAATATGAAGTTATACTTATCGAATTATTCATTGAAACATGAGGTTGACGTATCGAAGTTTTCATTGAAACATGAGATTAAACGTATCGAAGTATTCATTGAAACATGAGGTTATACTTATCCAAGTATTCATTGAAACATGAGGTTATACGTATCCAAGTATTCATTGAAACATGAGGTTATACGTATCAAAGTATTCATTGAAACATGAGATTAGACGTATCGAAGTATTCATTGAAATATGAGGTTATACTTATCCAAGTATTCATTGAAACATGAGGTTATACGTATCAAAGTATTCATTGAAATAGGAGGTTATACGTATCCAAGTATTCATTGAAACATGAGGTTATACGTATCAAAGTATTCATTGAAACATGAGATTAGACGTATCGAAGTATTCATTGAAACATGAGGTTATAAATTTTACAACAAATTCAATAAAACCCCTTTGCTCAGAGCGACAGCTACAAACGATCAGTTGTTTCGTCTGTTTATAAATCAGCAGTAATAAATTACACGTATCCAAATAGATTGTTGTGGATTTCTCCCAAGAACTTTATGTTCAAAGTTTAGAGTTCTAAAGTTTATGTTCTCTAAAAGCGTGTATATCTTAGAAGATAAGACGTGCGCTATATGAAACATTAATGTATCATGAATGATCATAAGATCCTATTCATCTAATAAAAAAAGAAGAAGAAAAAGAAAAAGCGAGCAAGTGCTGAATAGCCCATACGCATTGATTAGGCTATCCTTGTTCTAACCAGTAGACGTTTGTGATATCGCTCCATTCAACCCTCTTCTCGCACATAAATCAGCTAGTTATGCGTCGTTGCTCAGGTCTACTTTCTGTTACACACAGTGGAGATATTCTTCCTTTCAAGTGAGGGCCAATGAATGATGAGCTTACAGCTACGCACCGGAAACGTACTCTATCAGCAAGCGTCGGCGCTCCTTGAAATTGATTTAGAAATATCGCCCACTTGCGGTTGGAACCACGCTCTATCAGGCCTGAAAGCTAATACATCCTTCAGCTGAGAACGTCCCTATCTTCATTCTGAATGGTGCTTCAGTGTGCTTAGGCGCACTGGGCGTTGAAGCAATTCCCTGTTTCACTCTGGAGAATAAAATCACTGATATTCATTTCGACACGCTAAGCCTACTAATTTTACAGTTCAGTGCGAGCGTGAATTATGTATTTTGATAAACGCTTGCTTCCACGTAAAGATCGTTTATCATTACTTACAAGTGTTTCTAAATGGAAATCAGGTGAAGCACTTAAATAAAATAACACACTTATGTTTTCACCTTATGTCACTCGGCGTATGGCAGTGCATGAGTTTAACAAAGTAAAAAAAAAAATTAACTGGTCAGTTTAAATCAACTTTCTGTGCTGGTAATATAGCAAGTGGATAACAACAACTATTTTAAGTATGCCGCCTACACTGATAAGAAAGACCTCTTGAGAAACAAATGTGTATAGTCAGGCACTAATTGGTGTTAAAAATTATATGTGTTGTAGAAACACTTTTATACTGTTAACAATTCATTGTAGATAACCATGTTGTACAGTTGAGAAACGCATTTTCACTACTATACATTCATAATTAAACACACATAAAGTTCAGTGTTACACACTCTGTAGTTAACAACGTTATACAGTTGAGAAACGCATTTTCACTACTATACATTCATAATTAAACACACATAAAGTGCCAGCGTTACACACTCTGTAGTTAACAATGAAATGTATCTTCAGTGCTAGAAATTAATCGTAATTAACACGAAAATGCTTCTTCAACGTTTGTCAGTAACTGCAGTTCCAAACGAAATACATTCTTCGTGTGAACAATCTTCAGTGGTAGATGCTATTTTATAATTACAAAGGAAACGCTTCTTTAACGTTAGACAATAATCATAATAAAGTCGTGTTGCTTAGATGTGGGTGTGCAACGCCACTTGCTCACTATGGTTAATATGTTGAAATGGGATTACAGCAATCATAATCCATTTATCCAACTTGTACAATATTAAGTCTTAAAATAAGTGACAAAACTACCAGATTATGTGCTTATAATAGGTGGAACTTATTTCGAAGATGACAAATAATTTAATAGAAAAATAAATTATGAATATTTTGTAAGCAAAAAATGTCCGCCATTGCAATTTTGAAAAATACTTTTACAATGTTTTCCTTTCATCTGAGAAAAACAGCAACATATATACGTTTATATTGTCAGCAGTTCCTCTCGAGCTTTTCCTTAACAGTCATTATCAGGGCTTATAACGTAAAAAAATTGGGTTCAATCCCTGTAGTCGGCACAACGGAGATAGCCTATCGTGTAGCTTTGCGCAAGACAAAACAAACGAAACATGATTTGCGATGAATACAAAAATTAAATACTGTAAAAGAGGTTACTGTTTTGTTTTGAATTTCGCACAAAGCTAGACGAGGGCTATCTGCGCTAGCCGTTCCTAATTTAGCAGTGTAAGACTAGAGGGAAGGCAGCTAGTCATCACCACCCACCGCCAACTCTTGGGCTACACTTTTACCAACGAATAGTGGGATTGACTGTCACATTATAACGCCCCCACAGCTGAAAGGGCAAGAATGTTTGGTGTGACGGGGATTCGAACCCGCGACCCGCAGTACCCTAATCACCTAAAGAGGTTTCTTGGCAATAATATAAAAAAAATATTTTAGATATACATATGTTAAATTGTAATAAGCATAAAAATTCAAAGATCAAATCCCGCTCAAATACTTTAAAATGTATTCATAGTTCTATAATCATAACTTCTGACGTTCACACGATTTTACTTTAACTAAACTCTATTAGGCATATGTCCATTAGCATCAGCAGCAGCTGAAAATAGCCTGAGTTCAAGTATTTGGATTCAGGCTTAACCTTCAGGCTCATAATGTCTGGAATGAATGCAGGCCTGATGAGCTGGAGAGCAACTTGTTTGGATAACCTTGTGCTTCATAATGAGTGAAATTCTTTGCAAGTGTTTTTGAAGAACACTTAGCAATCGTCATAAGTACCTGAAAAAGTGTCTATATAAATAATGAAAAAAAACAACAAAGAGGACATTATACATTTTGTTTGTTTGTAAATAACGTTTGCACAAAGCTACATAGGGCTATCGGCACATAGCCGTCCCTAATTTTGAAGTCATAGACCAGAAGAAAGGCAGTTTAGTGAACAGCACCAACCATAAGTTCTTGAGCTATTATTGTCTGAACTAATAGTGACTTTTGACTATCACTATCATAACACCCACAAGGTGCGGAGTACATTTCTGCGGCAATGTAACGCGAACCGTGGATCCTGCTATTCATAGTTCTGGCATGCTAACTATAGAGCCACGCACGACCGGCCAACATTATACACAATCTTAATGTCAAAGAGACAAACATATTTAAATGTCAACAAAATTAAGCGCTTTTTAAACTTGTAAAAGAACATGGCATTAACATGTAAATACGACCACAAATAACGTTGGAAATAGTCACACAGAGTATAATTTACCAATAACGTTTTAAAGTTTTTAAAAGTTATTACGAAGTCAAATGTGATGTTAGAATGTTAAGAATGTCACACATGGTATAAAGGTTTCAATAACGTTTTACAATCTTCAGACGTCCTTAAGGAAGTGAAACTTGGTGTTAAAATGTTAAAAAAGTCACACATGTTATAAAAGTTTCAATAACATTTCACAGTCTTCAAACGTAAGGAAGTGAAACTTGGTGTTAAAATGTTAATAAAATCGCACATGGTATAGAGGTTTCAATAACGTTTCAGTCTTCAGACGTAACGAAGTGAAACTTGATGTTAAAATGTTAAAAAATTCACACATGGTATAAAGGTTTCAATAACGTTTCACAGTGTTAAACATTAAGAAAGTTAAACGGTGTTAAAGTGTCAAAGAAGGTAAATTCGTGTTAAAATATTACGAAGATTTTTAATATTTAAGCGTTACGTATGGTTTTCAAGTTACAAGAAAAACTCACAGCTGTTAAAGTATTAAGTGCTATAACGAAAGCTCATCGAAGGTAAAGTCACAAAAGCAGGCGTTTACATACACAAACACACGTACAAAGAGCTTCAAAGTGTTAAGAAATAAGTAACACTAATAAGAGTGAAAACATCCACATATTAATACTGTCATGCAAATAATGTTGTAAAGCTTAACGTCCATAACGGCTACATATCTTTGCTGCTGCGTATATGTCAAGAACAACAACAAAATTGATCAAATATTGTAACAACTACAACAAGTAATTTTTCGAAATAGGGATCAATTTTGTGATATGCATCCATATATAAAAACGTTAACACGTAAAAGGATTTTGGGTTTTGTAATTCTTCTATATTATTTATTATTTCCCTAATTTAACCATTTATAGAAAAAGTTGATCAACAGTTGATATATAGTAGAGTAACTAAGAAAACAGTAGCAACTGTATAGTTATTGATGGTCACTACTCTATTTACATATGCACATAAATATAGTGACATTTTACAGGTTTTAACAATTAATTATGTGTCGTTCTTTTATTGTGACCCTAATACTGTTTTATATGTTTTTTACCCATTCATTACGTGCCGTGCTTATATTGTTATCCTCATACTCTTTTACAGGTTTTAACAATTAATTATGTGCTGCGCTTGTATAGTCACCCTAATGCTGTTCTATAGGTTTTTAACAATATATTACGTCCCGTGGATGTATTGTTACTCTAATACTCTTTTATAGGTTTTAACAATTTCTTTACGTGCTGCGCTTGTATTGTCACCCTAATGCTGTTCTACAGGTTTTTAACAATATATTACGTCCCGTGGATGTATTGTTACCCTAATGCTGTTTTACAGGGGGTTTTTTTTTTCCAATTCATACGTGCTGTGTTTGTATTGATACCCTAATACTGTTTTACAGTGTTTTTTAAATTCACAGCGTGCCGTGCTTGTATTGTTGCCCTAGTACTGTTTTTCAGGTTTTTTTTTAATTCGTTACATGCCGTGCTTGTATTGTTACCCTAGTACTGTTTAACAGGTTTTTAACAGTTTTACGTGCCGCGCTTATATTATTTCTTTAGTATTGGTTCCTGTAATTCTGATGTAAAAAAAAACTCAACAACAAATTTATCCAAACTCAAAATGTGCAGAATATTCCAAGAAGAAGAAAAAAGAAGTATTGAGTGGTAATTTTTCTTAATACCGGTATAGAATATACTTTTAAATGATAATGATTATAATAAACGATTTTACCAGAGTGATGCTGAATTTCATGAGATGCTGTTTTAATTTCTGATCTCATCTATCTAGACAACAGATAGGCCTAACGAATAAAACAGGAAACATATGCTTGTTTTGCAGTCGAACTAAACGTAGCTTTGAAAAGGTAAATACTTGTTTCGCTCTTCGCGTGAATATTGATAACCCTAGCTTTAACCATGATAAGTGGAAAAAGAACAAAAGAAGTCGCTATCCCTAAAACTGTAGAACAAAGGATGGCCAGCTTTACAAAATATGTATTATTAAATTACTTTTGCTCTATTCTCCTGTTTTTCTTTTCAATAAGCCGCTTGGTTTAGTGAAAGAGGATGAAAATAAGGGACCATATTGTTATATACGTTTTTTGCGTGAAAAAGGATAATTATTTAATTTCTACAGTTTAGTAGAAGTAACACAAACAGCTCATTCTTTTCTACTGTACCTGAGCAATCGAATTTTTTCTTTGGTTTAATATCATATGTACAACCCCAGAACACATTTCTTAAGTGGATAACTCTGTTATTTCTTGAGCATATCAAGGTTAAAATAGGCTTAAAAGTTTCCTAAATTGGTTTACCTCTGTCACTCAATAAGATTACGAACGCTGTAATTTGTTTTCTTCAACTGTTTGTGTATTATTTAATAACTGTATTAGTAGAAACGCGATTCATTCATGTTTGTATTTGTCGAATGTTCACGCGCGTTCCAAAAAATAAAATAAAATCTTCTTGGCGGTTGTTGAAGTTAATTTCGTTTGATACGGGTTTTATTCCTCACGCTCTCAAACTTAGGCCTGTTTTAAATAAGCTTAGTAAAGAGGACGACTAGCGTTACCGTAATTCACGACTTATTCATTCTAAACTAAAGATTTTTGGCGCATTATTATTACGCGCTTCAAATCGTGCGTGTGTCGTTTCCATAATAGCCACCCTAAGAACTGCCACAAATTCCAGAACAATCTTTGTTCATGAGAACAGGAAGTAGAATTATCATCAAGTTTTGACACCAGATGTCTGCTCTGTTACTTTCTTATATCATTGATTCTGTGCTGATTTTGAATTAAACGAAGATAGCTAGCTAAGAGCATTCACACCAGCTATTGAGCTGCTCTTGTCTCATCGAATAGTGGCACGTGACGGTCACCGCGGCCACAATGGGCGGAAGGCATTTATGCAGCAACGGGCCTAATCCAGGAACTCTCGGATTTACAGTATTGGCACGTTAGCCACTAGGTCACTCCAGATCATTTTGTATTATTGAATATCTAATCCTGTCCATATGATATCAAACTCAAATGGAAAGTTGGCCAGACATTTTTATTGAATCTATCCTGAAAAGTAATTATCAACACACGTTTCGTTTTATTCTATCATTTTACAGTTCAAAATACAAATACAGGGTGCGGATCTGTAAAAAATACTTCTCCAACAATATCTACTGACTGGATGTAAGCAGGTAATTATCGAATAACGTTCTAAACACGGCTATATTAGTATGCGTATTTTGCGTGCTGATGTGTGTGTGTTGAACTCTCGAACGTGTAAGGTGCAAATAATCTATAAAAGGCATCGTACTTTAAGTTTGTTCACTTTTAATTTTTAATTTACTCTAAGTTAACTGAATAAACTATATTTCTGGTGTTGATTTACTTTAAAAGAAAACTTAGGGAAGCAAACAGCTGAGTGTCAGCTATATTTTATCAATTAACCTGACCAAAAGCGGTTCTATGAAGTAATGCAGCTGCTTGAACTTATTTACTTCGTCTTTTTTTAAATCAACATTTTCCCTCAGGCGAAGCGAAACTGTATCTATTTGTATATAATAACAGATAACGTCGCTGTTAAGTCACTCATGTGTAGATTAACCATTAACTTGGTCTTTAGGCTTCGCTAGTGGCAAAATCAGTAACTTGTACTTGTCGCAAATCTACTAAAGCTATCTCCTGCTGTCCTTAAGTTTGAACTGCTAACCAGAGGAAAGACGGCCAGTTAGCAGCAATCTGCCACCTACTATCCACACTAAGTTATTTACTGTTACTCTTATAACACACGCATAGCTTAAAATAAGGGAAATATTTTTTTGGTTTCCCACAGATTCGAACCCGTCTCGCCAGCTTCGAAATCCATAGCTTTACCGCAGGGTCAGCCCGCACCCAAAAATTCAATAATTAATCATAAAAGGTATTAAGTACTCGCTTGTCACATTCATAGATATATACTTATGTCGAAACCATTGGAACAGAACGATCAATATGTTACTGGTTACACAAGTCTCTGCTTAACCTAGTGTTAGGTATTCAAATTATTGTTCAGCTAACGTACTCAATGTACATTACAAGTATGAAACATACTTAATATGCATTACAATCATGAAACATACTTAGTATACATTACAAGTATGAAACATACTTAGTATACATTGCAAGTATGAAAAACATTTTCTGTACTTATTTGGCTACGTTTGTGTATATGAAATTTACTTTGTTTAATTGCGTAGTATTTCAATATTTTCACATGGAGAATATATACACAAACACTCAATGAGACCAAACAAATTAGAAAATGGTTCATAAGATAAGCAGTTTAGTTTCATGAAATTCGTACAATCGCCGTAAGTTGGAATAAATCTTAAACAATAAATGTGACACATTGATGATAAACTGTTATTGTAATTATGTACATAATCGTCATTTATAGTCATATATGATGCAATTAGGGAGAAAAAATAGCAGCCAATAGCGAGTTGCTCTTGGATTTGGTGAAAACATAACAGCCAATAGCGAGTTGCTTTTGGATTTTTTTCAATTTCTACTCTAGGCATTCAATTCCTTTTTCTTTATTTTATTTTAATTACTATATTTCTCTACCTGTTGATCAAGAATTACGACGTACACAACACGAAGTAATGGTACGACGTTAAAAAGTGACGTAAGTGGAAATTATACTCTCAGTTTCCCATTTTTGAATAGCCATAGTGACCATACTTCCATTAATGCTAAAAATATACGACCTTATAACACCAAAATGTAGTTTTTACTTAATTAGACTCTCAAGGTTTCGTTTTACACCTTCTTCAGAAGCGTTCACTGAAACACAAACCGAAACTGGTTGATGTTATAAGGTCGTTTATTTCTACCATTAATATGTTTTCTATACGCCAATTTGCACTACAGAACTTAAATAACAATACTTCCATTATTTGAGTATCCGTATTTACCATTGGTCTTCTAAAACATTTTGCAAAATAAAAGCAATCAATGATCTGGGTTTAAAGATTTAATTTTTTAAAAAAACGACCTAACCTATGATCAGATTTAAAGATATCTTTTCAAAAATAAACATAAAAAATTGATGTAATTCTACACCATAAGTTATGCTTTCTTGATCTTCCGGAGGGAAAAAAAAACTCGTTTTTTGTAAATAACAATTTACCTGTTTATTAATACATATTATTACTAAACTTATATAAGAAATATTGTAATTTTGGGATTGCTATAAAATACAAATTATCATGACTTTAGTAGATTTACTTTCAGTAATACAGATTATCCCATTTCTTAGAAACTTACCCATTTGTGAAAGGGTAACCTGCCAATCCTGCAGTGTCGTATGGATAATACATAGGAGCTGCGTAGGGCAAGCTTCTCCAGGCTTCCAAATTCTCCTTCAAGTCAAACCCATTAGCCTAAAAAGCATGAAAAAAAAGAAGAATAAAACGTTAAGTATATGCATAAAAAAGTCACGTGGACTTAGATGTAAGTTTCAACCAGAGGAGAAATTGACGCGATGTATTTTTTCCGATGAATTTATGACATTACAATTAATTTAATCGTTTTCTCTGTCCTGAAAGAATCCTTTAAAGTGATTTTTGATTCTAAGTTACTTGTTTCGAGCGTTTTCCACTGGGTTATCGTTTGGGTTGTTTTGAATTTTTCGCAAAGCTACACAAGGGCTATCTGCACTAGCCGTCCCTATTTTAGCAGTGATAGACTAGAGGGAAGGCAGCTAGTCAACACCACCCACAACCAACTCTTTTACCAGCGAATATTGGAATTGACCGTCACATTATAACGCCCCACGGTTAAAAGGGCGAGCATGTTCGGTGACAGGGTTTCGAACCCGCGATCCACAGAGTGCAAGTCAAGCGCCATAATTACCGGGCCTTCCACTCGATTTTAGTATAAAGCTAGCCTGTTCTGCATTCAAAGAAAAATTAATACCATTGTCGGAGAATGATTTCCATAGAATTGTATTTTAAAAACAGAGGTAAATGCACGTTCGATTTCTACTCGCAATTACATTTGTTTGCTATTGTATTTCTTTAGTATCACAGAAAAGCAACCAAAGTTTTACAGTTTTTTTAACGAAATACATATGTAATAAAATAAAATACTAGTTTTCATTACTTATAGAAATACAAAAAAAGTAAAAGTCAATCGAATATTTTATGAATTGGTTCAATTTTTGCGAAAACAGCAGTAAAAACAAAAATAATAAGAAAACTTTGGACTACATTTTGTTTTTATTTTGTTTTATTATTTTGCTATCTACCTATCTGCTTAAAAATTAGTGCTTGAAATATTTAGTAGTCATATTACATATGTCATCAAACTGTGAAACATAAGATTTCACCAGTCATATTACATATGTCATCAAACTGTGAAACATAAGATTTCACCAGTCATATTACGTATATCATCACACTATGAAACATAAGATTTCACCAGTCATATTACATATGTCATCAAACTGTGAAACATAAGATTTCACCAGTCATATTACATACGTCATCACACTTTGAAACATAAGATTTCATCAGTCATATTACATATGTCATCAAATTGTGAAACATAAGATTTCACCAGTTATATTACATATGTCATCAAACTGTGAAACATAAGATTTCACCAGTCATATTACGTATATCATCACACTATGAAACATAAGATTTCCCCAATCATATTACATATGTCATCATATTGTAAAACATAAGATTTCACCAGGTTCAACATTTCTTATTTTAAGTACAAGAATATTTGTTTAGACAATTCTCAGTTCTATCAAAAGCAACCGTACACTGAATGAAAGTAGAGTCAAGGAATTGTAATTGTAAAACGTAAAATAGTCTATATCCAGATTCAATACGACTTAAACAGAAAGACATTTATGTTTCACAGCAGAATGTGTAGGTTAGTTTATAAAAATAATGAAACTAATTCACAGCTTTCACTTCAAATTACTGTGATTTCCCTTGCAACTACAACTACGAAAACCTGAATTCGCTGCAACATTCCTAAACCGTACTGAGTATTTTATAAAATACTAAGATCGTTCAATCGACCGTAGAGAAAGTGTCATGTCTTGTAGGCAAGATAACAAAATAAAATACGCTACACCAGTTTCTCATATAAGACTTTGCATAAGTTTGGGGTTCGATTCCCTGCTATGAAAAACGCAGTAATAGCGTTCATGGAAGGTCTTTCCAACGCAAGGCTTCTTTTGCTCAGGGCCATTCCATCTTTACTTTGATATGCACTTTAAGAATGGTTCTATTGACATCTAGGACACTGTGCACTTAGTAGAAACAACAATAAGTGATCTTTATCTATTTCTTATGACTTTCGTTTGTTGAGGTCTGATCAAACATATCTAAGCCTGCCAGTTACTGAACGGTCTATGACAATCAAAGTGGTTACAATGAAAGGAACAAAGTATCCTGTTCTTGTTATTCATTCTGTTTCGAAGTTTTCTTGTTCTCTTTTGATTAGATTCTAATGTTTCTGTACAATCTCTCTCTTCCTGATCGTTTAACAGGAATAATATCACGACTGCATCCACAATGTTTGTATGAAATACAAACATCACATCTTCAAACTTTGCTGTTGAACTGCAGCTAGGGTAAACATGATTTTCGAACATTCTTCCAGGTCTTCTGTGGTTAAATCTTTGAAAGAGACAATGAAATTTCACCAAACTATTAACGTAAACGTGAGGTAGAACTCATTTTCAAATGCACATTTCTCTGTAAGAGGTGAATCGATTAGCACAAAAGTTGTATCATTCGACAACTCTAATACTGAAAGCGATTTGAGCACAGCGGAATGTCTGCGGACTTACAACGTTAGAAACCGGGTTTCGATACCCGTGGTGGGCAAAGCACAGATAGCCTATGGTGTAACTTTGTGCTTAACTTCAAATAAACAAATCGTTTGGCCGTTATTATGATGAGCAAAACAGCCACCAACTTCTGTACGATCGACTTCCAGTTTTAGATTTAAAATATAAAATCAGCTTCAAAAGGGATATCTTCTAAATGGACATTTCTTTCAAAACAAGAACAAAATAATCGACTAATTAAAACGTGCACGTCCTTGTTGCACGATACATAAAACCATTTTTAATTCACATAAGTACAGTAATAAGATACGGATTCGACTTTTTACAGACATTAAGCCCACTGGAAGTCACACATAAAGAACGATTATAGCTAGAGATGCAGAAGGCAAAAATAGCCTGCAGCTCATGACACCAGGGTTTGGCCGTAGACTGTTGACAATTGTTGTTGTTTTTTTTTTTAGATACGTGTTTTAAACGTTTTGTTTTAGTGAAGGTGATATCTTTCTCTTCTAATCCCGCTTAATAATGTAAACGATTCGTTCAGTATTTCAATTCTGTGTTTAGATTATAATACATTTTAATATGTTTAATTTAACAGTCCATCTTAAACTTTTTTTTATGAAAATAGAAAAACATAAAGCATCTTTTTAAATATTCCAACCAAATTTCGTTTATTTATTTCCCAACAGTTTCTATATCATACACCAAACTAAGCTGTATTTATCATTGAAACGGTTTTACTTCACACACGACGTTTCATTACTGACCACCAAACAATAACACTTAGAAAACTAAATATATTTAACCATCGACAAAACGGTTTTTACTTCATACACGACGTTTCATTACTTACCACCGAACAACAACACTTAGAAAACTAAATATATTTAACCAGCGACAAAACGGTTTTTACTTCACACACGACGTTTCATTACTTACCACCGAACAACAACACTTAGAAAACTAAATATGTTTAACCATCGACAAGACGGTTTTTACTTCACACACGACGTTTCATTACTGACCACCAAACAGTAACACTTAGAAAATTAAATATATTTAACCATCGACAAGACGGTTTTTACTTCACACACGACGTTTCATTACTGACCACCAAACAATAACACTTAGAAAACTAAATATATTTAACCATCGACAAAACGGTTTTTACTTCACACACGACGTTTCATTACTGACCACCAAACAATAACACTTAGAAAACTAAACATATTTAACCATCGACAAAACGGTTTTTACTTCACACACGACGTTTCATTACTGACCACCAAACAATAACACTTAGAAAACTAAATATATTTAACCATCGACAAAACGGTTTTTACTTCACACACGACGTTTCATTACTTACC